TTTTGGGTTAGCTAATAGCAATGCCATGGCATGGGCTAAAGTGTCGATTTATATGATAAAAACATGGCTTTGGTACAATCAAAAAGTGTTAATTTATCTTTTAAGTATCGCTGATCGCGTGCCTTTCCCTGATATACTTCATATAAATCGTTGGTTATCTTGGTCAATTTTGGATGAACGAATAAAGTGTAGCGAGAATGTTTTCAGCAATGAGGAAGAAAAAGAAAAATATCGAACTGCTAACCGCCACATTGAGCGAGCTCGCGCGCCTGGCAGAGTTTACCCACAATGCCCTGCGCGTCGTCAGCTGTGACCTAGCGTGACGTATTTCCTTCACAGAAATCTAGTATATCTATGCATGGCCATCGGCGCTACTCGGGCGCTGGGCGCGATCTTTCGAGTCAGCGCACACGCGGAGTGGCCCTGAATGCAAAAATGACTAGAGATGCACAATCACGCCAAACATTCAGTAAAACGTTCTACGGTCGCACAGTGGGAATTCGCGGTCCCCGACGCTTTTGTATGTGTAATTTTCAAACAAGATCTTGCTCAATGCCAGTCAGCGCAGGCGCCCTTTTAACAAGACTCCAGCAAGTCTATTAACTCATGGAATTATGAAAGCTTTAAGAAGCAATAAAATTACAAGTCTCTTGCATAAATTGGTTATAGATTATGTATCTTTTTAATAATGATTTATTTTGGTTTTTATGTTGTTTTTTTTAACTATATTCCAGTTTTCAGTGACTCGCTTCATTGCCTTTTTCCGAAAAAAAAAACAGAAATCTTGTTAATTAACAAAATGGAGCCCTAAAACCTTGCCGAAAACTGCAAATAAAATTGTCCTTTTGTAGCCCAAGGCAGCATTTATTTCTGTCCCTCCATTTTATCCACGATAAACGTTCTACGATCCGCAGCATACAATGCATTTGATCATTAATACAGATCCACACACTGTGCGATTTACCTTACTGTACGGACTGGGTTTAATGTGCCGAGTATTTTGCTATCAGTTGATTGGAAAAGCCTTCGATTAGGTTTCACACAATTTCATTTATAGGGTTCTTGACCTTTTTAACTTTGGACCGTCTATGAAAAGGCACATTCAAGTGTTATTTTGCACCCATGCCATTTGTCATTTTTTGCCAATGGATTTCATTCAGAGTTGGGGGGAAGTCATATCCGCGCGTAATGTAACAGCCGCGGATCCACACAACATAACCGCTACATCCCACATAAGTCTGAATGACACTTGTCCTGTATGACACATGTACTGTAAGATCATGCAAAGAAAAGACCGACAAGCCTTTTTAGACAAGGAGGCGTTGAATGTGGGTTAGACTTGCTGCTTTCAACTTCACTTTTTAAATTGTTTTACAGACTGTTCAACACAAAACTGCAGAAATAACTTGTTGGTTCGGCAGATGATGTCGCGGTTACATCAAGAGGGCGCCCCATCCATAAAAACGGTAACACAACCTACGCACCTTGGTGTTACAGACCAGTACATAAGCTGCTTATAATGATAAATACACTTGTTTCAAGAAGTCCGGGAAGACAAACTTCTCCAGTCTTCAAAATACACTTAATATTAAGACCTTTTTCCCTCTTTTCAGTTTTGACTTTTGAAGATATTTCCATCTTTAATAAGATGATCACCTTTAAACTAACGTCTTGAAGTCCACTGCCATTCTGGAAACAGACGCTTATACATAGTACATATACTCCGTTGTAAAGTCGTCCAGTCTCCGGACCACATTTTGTGGTCAGCTACACTACTCAAAAAAAGGTCAAGGACCACTTTTTATTTTGTGTATACTTTTCATATAAGATGTTTTTCTGCTGTAAATATGCATTTGATGTTTTGAAGCATGAAAAAAAAATTTTGTTCCAATGAGAACACCATCTAGACAAACAAACAGAAAAGAACTAGACCCCACCCATTGCTTGGAAAAAAAATTACAAGTTAAGAAGAAACTGGTCCCTTTGAGTGGTCAGTAAGTAGTGTGCAACCCCTGGAGTTTAGGTTTAGGTAGCAGTTTCAAAATGGTACCTTCCTGAAATTATACAGTCTTGCGCCCGCTGTTGTCCGTCTACGGGTATTATATCTCTGTTTGGCGTGACCTTTTGTATAGCGTAAAACTTTTTAATGGTCAGTGGGATTTCTACCCATATATATATATATGTGTATATATATGGAACTTTTGAATGATGTAAATATCGGATTTACGCGCTGGATTTGTTTTGTTACTGATTTCAGTGAAATGGCAGCTGCTCTTTTCATCAAAAATGTACTTCAATAAAAGTAGAAAAATGAGTTTTCTTTTGGATTTACTGCTTTAACTACTTCAGCTAAATTAAAATGAAAGTAAAAAAATGTTCAAATGATGAAGTATCTTTGCAATTTCTTTTACCAAATACCTAAATTGTGGAATGTGTTATGCCCCTAAAATTGAAATTCCGTCCAAAAATCCTAATTTTAATTTTTCAATGTAAATGTTTTGTATATTTTGCTCTTCTAAACCATGCCCATGAAAAAGATTAGCCAACAATATGTCTTGAATTGCATGACTTAAAAAAGAGCCCCCCGAAAAATCTCCTCAAGTTGCAGAAAAAAATGGCCTAAAGTAGTTTTGTGTTTCTGAGTGGACAAAAAGAAATTCATTAAAAATTGACGATTATACCATACTTTTTAATTTCACCTACATGTAAGGCATTCAACAGATATTTGTACAGTGTTTTTCTTCAGTTTGCTTTTAACGTGTGGCAGACCTTTTTGTGCCATTTTCCAAGAACTGCATGGGGCAGCATCTTTCACTGTAGCAGTGGACAAACTCGAATTTTCAATACAATAATGCAGTGGCATTGATCATTTTAAAAAAATGTATGTTTTTCTGCCGTATCTCTGCCAAGAATCTACATTAAATCTTAACCCTTAGGGGATTCAGTCCATGTTAAAAGGGGGCTTGTGAAACGAATGAAACATAAAAGGATTCTGCATTCCTTTTTTCACGAATTTGATAGAATTTATATTTTATTTAAGTAATGATTAACTCAAACAAAAACAGAGAACACCAAAAATTAAGTTTATTTACCCTGATGCTCAATTAAGAATTAATTATAAAACAGTCTGCAACCCTAAACTGTAATACGAGCAATGCACAACCCAAAACTGTTTACCAAAATAAAAAAATACTTTCCTAAATGTATGAATCAATGTTAATCATAAGATAATTTCCTCCATATACAACTAATGAAAATCTTTTATGAGAAGCCACTCGATCCTTTTCTTGCTTATAGGCTATTTTACCTAAAATATTCTTCATCATTTGCTTGAATTCTATCAAAAATAATTTTTTAAAAAGTGAGTTGTCTTACAGGACTCAAGTTTGTAAACAAATTAAAGAGCAGCACATAGTAAACAGTCAGATGAGAGATCATTGTTAATTTGGAAAATTTCTGTGATTTGCTTGAGCCATGCTGTGCCAGGAACAGTAAATCACAAGTTATGCATGCAGTCCATCTCGCAAGTTCATCTCAAAAGCCAACACAAATCAAGTTTGTAAGATTAGCCAAAAGAGTCCAGTTTCTGGTTCAAATTCCCTGTCACTAATGAGTTTTGCATTTGTTCTTCAAATGATAAAAAATGCTAAGCTGGGCCACTTTATCTTCAATAATTAACGGATTAACCCTTTTTGGCAAATTCATTTTAGATTTTTTGGTTCCTGCTCAAAAATAACTAAACTATTTCAGGATGTCTCTTGGATTTTTTTTTAATTCATGTGGAAGTCTATGCAATAGGAATTCTTCTCCCTGGAAAATTTAAGGGCTTTTTTCAATTTCAATTTCAAAAATCAAGCTCTGATCAAAACAAAAATTTCTTCAAGTCTTGCCATACAGCACTCAACCTTGGAGCTCGTTAATGGCCCTCGAGTGCATGTTGTTCTTTGGTGGAGGTAGTACAGGTGAAAGTACAGACCACGCCCCCCCCTCCCCACCCTTGCTGGAGTAACTTACTGCATCTTGACAATGTGGCTGGCTATCATGAGGTGCTTCGAGGCCCTTTCTTTCTTGTGATGCTCTCTCCATGTAGCTGATGACTGTCAGAAATCCTGGAGGGAAAAACAGGATATGCAAAAACTCAATGAATGAAACACCTAAATATAGACCCTTGGAACAATCTCAACCATACGTGCAACTGGTAAGACCAGTCATCGATTGAGAAAAAATGGAAGAGTGAAATCAAGTTGTCTATTCAGATTAAAGCCTTTTCATTCTGAAGTACACGCATGTATAGCAGAGAATGAGTTTCTGTGACCACTGTGCACCAGACAGGTAGGCACTGCCACGGACGATTTACTGCAAGGACTAAAGTTGAAAACAGTTTAACTAACACCACACCAAATAGTTGATGGTTTGGACCATCTAGGAACCTATTAGGAACCAGGCCTATTGGGTGGTGGTGCCAATGATTATCAACAGCCAGTGTAACCTATCATGAAAACAGCTGTACAAAATGTCATTGCCAATGGCAAATTGAAAGATTTTACCAATCTACGGCCATTTGAGTGAGTTCACCCTAGTGGCTGAAGTACTGTATAGTTCATACCCAAACTCGGCCTCACCACGCATGTAATGAACTAGGTTCCACATGGTCAAATACCGATCGACTGGCCCCCAGATATGGCTACTGAACACTAGACAATTTTGCCACCTTCGGTGGTATATCCAACTTGTAAATCTGTCAAAATCCACTGTTTTCACTCAACACACAAAGCCTAAAACACTTAACTTCTCCACGCCTCCTCTTATTCAAATACGCGTGCCTAGATTTTGCTGGCGCATTAACTCTATGGACAAACATGATCCTCCAAGGACACATGTATGAGTGCTCTATACGTGGTCGGAGCACAAGATGACCGTGACGTTTAGGAGTACTGTGCTACCAAAAGACCGACAACAGTTTTATGGTCAACAAGTCTTGTGCCCCGACCACGTACAGGGCAGTCATGCATGCATCCTCGGAGGAGCCTACTAACGCTCCATCAGTAGAGCTAAGTTACACAATCAATTTGTGCAAGTTTCAAAATTGCACTGAACACCTACACTTGTTACAGGCACGACTATGACCGATCGGGCCTGGACAACTCAACTGTTTGCCAACTCGACCAATGAGACAACTCGACCATTGAGACAACTCAACCGTCCATGCCTAAAAGGGTGAGACAAGTCAACCGTTGGGACACTGTTTGCTCAGCCCAGTCATCTGCTGAGGCCATGGTGTAAAATACTATACATGGCCTTAATGATGGGACAGAATTTCATGTAGTAGATAAACAAGCCTAATTTCTGAGGTATTTTATAAAAAAGGTGGCTGTAGCAAATCTTTGTGCAATCAATCGATCGGACTTCCACCCGCGCCTCACGTATAATGGCCTGTAGGCCTATATAGATTACAGTTGTCGAGTTGCCAACATCCATGACCGATCGTACTAGTTAACGTCAACACAACGTCAACACGCGTCAACACATGATAGTAACGTCAACACACCTTCGACACACCCAAATCACGTTCTAAATTCGATAGCAATATGATGCCTAAAATACAATTTGGCTAACAACAGTGGGCGACATTTGGGGCCAAAAGCCACTTTATTTCACGAAAATAACAGCCTCCGCACAGCCACGAAAGACGGTAGCCATGTTGCCACTCGGTCAGACAGACCATACCATTATGCTACAGGGGGTCACCTTTATACAGTAAACCATGGTACGGTCCAAACGCATGAAAAAACTCCCTTGAAATGTGGTAAAATGTAAGCTCGGTTAAATAGAAATTATTCCTAAGCGTATACATTACAGTTCGATACGTCTGTTTTCAATGCATTGTAAGTGTTGACGTTACTATCATTGTGTTGACGCATGTTGACGGCGTGTTGACACTGATTAGTAGTAAACCCCCGATGACTGACGTGCACGCTTCTCACTGTTGAAACAGCCCCAGCTTACTTGTATCAACCTGATGATTCAAAGTTAACTGACATAAGTTTAACTTTTAGACCCCACATAAAATAAATGTAGCCCAAATTACCTTCATTTCAATATGTAACTGGAATTTGTAGGCCTATTAGCAATGACTATGTAACCATTTTGAATCTATTGAATCTGCGAGGCATATATGCATCACGACGAATCTGCCACGCTGCTAGTCTGGTTCCCAGACATGCCAGACTTAAAGATTCCTGAAGACTCTTAATAAAATCCATTGATTTTTTTTTATTTCGAAGGTCACCAGATACTTGGAGGCCCTGTCGGTTGAATGAACTGCACAAAAATATCCGAACATTAACGATACTAGTCGAATGTCAACGGCAACGAGTTCGGAATATTTGGGATAATTTTGGAAAACAGTGGAATCATCCTCCGTTTTTGTCAAGTAACGCCATGACCCAAGACCGTGCCCGAAGAGAAAAGAGATAGGCAGATTCATTGGGTCTGGGAACCGGATCGGACAAGGCGAATCTAAAGGGGGCGTCCTTTAAAACCAGCGGTCGGTTCTACTTAAAAGAAGCTACACTTTTGTGAGGGCGCCCTTCACGAAAACTGTCAACTCCAACGAAAAAGCTAAAGAGGGTGTCATTTCAAATAAACTCCTTTTTTGACAAAACTGAAATTTTGAGGGCGCCCTTTCATAGACCACGAGGGCGTCCTTTAAGATTAACAGTCCCTTTTTTCACAGACAAACGCATAGACCATCAGTCTTGCGCATAACACTGTGATTTTGAAAATTGTGGGCAAACAGTGGGCGAAGCGGTGCACGGCAGCGCGTTCAGTGCGCATTACACTTACATTGCCATTATTCGTTTACATGTGCTTCCAAAAACGTTCGCATTTTTTTTGCTTTTCGGCAGTGCTAGGCTCTGTTCTTCTTACCTACATGACATTATTCATGGGCATGAATTAATTGTTTGATGATACAGTGAACCATGGAGGAAGGAAAACAGATGTTTTCCTTCCTCCATGAGTGACCTGCCGGTAGATATCAAATAGCTGGCACCAGCCCGGCAACCACCTTGTACATAAATATTAGATAATGTAAGCGTGTATTGTGCACAGTCCAACGGAGGACTGCTGAGGAAAGACGTCAGTATTTTAATCTATTAACGGGTCTTTAACCGGGATTGTGCTGCCGTTGATGGTACTTTTGCATTTGAAGAATGGGGCCTGTTTTAATGTGGAGGAAGTGGAAGATGTACTCCGACACTCCACCCCCTCAATTTAAGCCAGTTTTCTGCTTGAAAAATAAATTATATGAATGGTAAGTGGTCGAGGTAGGAGACATTTTTTTAAAAAGATGGAAAATAGGTACCGCTTTACATAAGTTAAGCGATATAATTAGTGATGTCGCTTGGTAGCGCTCTGTCTTAGAGTAAAACAATTTCTACCGTGACTGCAGGTGTACTCGTTTACCGTACAATTTAGTAAACTCAAAGTTAGAATTTTTCATCCAGAAATGTGTGGGTGGGAACTTCATTGCTGGAAAAGATATTTAAAGAACTAAGTAAAAGACGGAACGGTCTTGGAGAAAACATTTGATAAAGAAATAAATGAAGAGTTGTACATGTAAATTGAACAACTTGGGCACATTGTAGGATATTCCGAGTTTGAAAGATCATAATACAGTTGAATTGAGCAGTGTGATACGTACGACACTCAAAGTAATCCATTGGAATTTGGAAGTTCCGTAATGCAATGAATAACCATGAAAGTACATTCACACAATAGTTCTCTCCAAAAAAATTAACTTTATTAGTCTCACTTCCCTGTTCATTTTGTTCAGAAACACCCAATTCAAGTTACATTAGGTCACAAAAATTCTAATGAAAAGAGGTTTGTCGTTAAAAAGCCAGATTTCTAGTTGCCATGAAACTGTTGCAAAACACAAATTAAAAATGTAAAACAATTCCAGGTCAAAGATTAAGATAAGTTCCTCTTTCTTTTATTTAGGTGTTGTCAGGAAAGTGAATAAAAGAAGGTACTGGGTACCGTAACAAACCTGACCTGAAATCAATCCAATTTGGAACACTTTTAGGATATCAATTACAGCTAAGCAAACGCCAGTATCACAAGCCCGTTTGCAATGAAGGACAAATACACAGGACCAATGACCATGAAAGCTGCGCAACAGCAACTAAATTGGCAACTGATAAAGAAATGCACACAGAACTTGAGAGGAAAGTTGGCTGGAAACCGCTAACAAGGCATAACATTAGTTCTGCTTCGTAAGCTTTCTTTTGCCAAACAAATAAGTGCTGTGCTGTGTTTTGAATACAATGTTGCATATACTTGTCCTTAGATCTGCAACTGGAATTTGTCCATCCTGAAAACGTCTCACATCAAAACTGGAAGGGAGGTCACCTATAATTTCTTCAATATACTCTGATGTCTCTTCAAAGTCAAAGGAATTATTTCAAGATATTCAGTTACATTTAGACACACTCTAAAAACAAGAGTAAAAGGACAGGTGCAAGTTCAGATGTTATAATTAACACCGAACCATTAAAATACCCATTAAATCAGCGTTCTCAAAAGTTCAAATAGTAAACCATTATTCTGTAAAAGCCCCAGAATCTACATGCATGTATTCCACCTTTGTTCTTAATCTATACATGTATTCCAGAGGTCAACATGACAACAAACATTTGTCCAGGTCTTTTCAGTACAAAACATCTAAAAACTAAAACATACATTCATACACAAGGTGACTATTTTCACATTGCTCCTACAAATTGGCAAGTAAGAATACATGGACATTTTTGTTGCATACTTTTTCCAATAGTTTTGAATTTTTTTTTTCACTTGTCAAAAGTGATCCTTATAAATACTACATATCTCACAATGTCTATTTTACAAGTTTACAACTGATTTTTCTCCTAATCATTTACATAGGTGTTGTTCGGGGAGTGATACTTCAACCCCAAGGGTAACTGAAATAATTTATCACTCCAGCACCAACGCAAATTCCAAAATAAATAACATTAAATATACACACATGCATAAATATCAGATTAACAATTTCACTACACCTAGGGAGCTGTAATTTTTCGAAGTTGATTCCAGAACTAGATGGAATTTGCTTAATTGAAAAAATCTAATCTTCCCATTTACACTAGAGATTTACACAAAAACTGAACCTACTTTAATTTTCCAATCTGGTCACTCTTAATGTAAGAGTAGAAACTTTCACATGAAATATTACTTGTTTGAAAGAATGGATCTCTTATTAAAACCCTCCACTCGTCCGAATAAATTACTAACTCCAGCATATATGATGTTTTAAGCCTTTGGTAAGGATTATCAGGTACACTGCAAAAAACAAAACAAAACGGTAGGGTTGTTTGTTAGCATATGATCACTTGTTATTACAGTGTATATACATGTACAGTTAATTAGTTTTTTCTTTCAGACAGTGCAAGCTTGAAGCTAAATTACAATGGCTAGCAATCCTTCCTTGCTAAAGCAATTTTATAATTCGTCTCTGCATCATTTATCAAGCTCTCAAAAATGGCTCTGGCTGTATGCGAGACTGAAACCATCTAGATGTCATCTCATATTATGCACTGTTGTCTGAAGAAGGAAAATCTTCATGGCACTGCTGAGGAGAAAAATACTGTTCAGTAGATTTGCGTACTCAGATCCACTTGCAACCAAAGTTAAACCATGCTGTGCATGTTCCTCACACAGCTTTTTACGACACATCATTTCTGCATTGATCAGGTTTGTGTAATTGACTATTTTATACAACTGGCCTTTTATGTTAATACAACAGTGCATGTTCCCGAAAAATGTCTGCATGTTGAAAATATCCCAGAATCTATACCATGTAATGAGTATCAATAACTACGACTATCGCTGGAGGGTTCTTGTATGAACCATCTTGCAGTATCCCTGATGTTCTTAATTCATTCATCCTGGACCAAATTGAGGGCTTTCAAACAGTGAATTTTGGTTGCTTCTATCCAACTCTAGGCATGTGATCACTACACATTCAAGGAACATCTCAGTTTGGGCAGAATCACTGTGCTAAGTTTATTCAAAATGACTAGCACAATGTCACAGCCAAAACCTGTGGCCTGATCGCTAATCAGCCCCTTAACCCCTAAGTGACAACATCACTGAGGTGCCCAAGTGCTTTAATACATTGCAAGCTTTCTTAAATTTAAAAGGCGCATGAATCTGCCTCTTCCCTTCCAATTTAACAATGTTTGCAATAAATATATAAATGTGGATGATCTGAGCACCTAACAAGCTGTTTGTCAACTAGTAAAGAGGCTGATCACATCTTCAGGACCACTTTTGCAGATTCTGCAGGTTACGTCAAGGGATTAAATTAATTAAAACACTAATGAAAGGGAATTCACGTCTGTTTGAAATATTAGGCAACAGTGCCCTCAAAAGATTAAAAAGTATGGCCCACGGAAACACAGGCTGCAGCACTTGATTGACAAATATTAAAAAAAACCCATTATCATCCTTCCTTCTTGTCTTGCAAGAATTAACTTGCAGCAGCAAAATTAAGACACCAGACCTAAACCCAAACAATGCAGTTACAGACGTTGGAGATATCAGGTGACAGTGAACAAAACGGTCCCATGTGACTGGTCCAATATTGTTTGTGTCACATTTGAGGGGATGTAAGCAAGCTCAAAATGACACAAACAAAAGTGGACCGGTATCAGTATGGGATCAGTATGTTTACCGCCACCAAATGTCTCATCAGTCTTCTATTGAATGGCTTCAATGTGTCTTTTTATGTTTTCTCAACACAAACAAAACCCAAATTTACCTGATGTGCCATAAAGTATTTCATTTACCTTTTCATTTACCTTTTAACGAAATCAATGAATTTATAAACTTCTTTGTAATTCATGTTTGTCCATTTATCTTTCACAATAAAATATTTACTAACTACTAACATCAAATATCCAACAGTATGTTTGCCAGCGAGTGCTCTGGAAGTGTTCTTGACTGACAGAAGCTATCCATTTTTGCCACACTTTTCACACATTAAAATTTACAAAAGAACAAAAAACTTTTGAAAAGTGACAAGAAAATAAAACTCATTCTTCAATGTTCATTTCAAACTCAAGCCTGTTTAAAACAACTAAGGACCCAAACAAACTGAGGTAAACTGTTTGAACACCAAGCATCATAACAGGTGACATGATGGACACCAAGAACACTCACTGACTGAACTAAATAGTTCCACACCACGAGTCCACATGAACTCAAACTAAGTGACCTCAATGGACTGCAGAGGGGGACAGGGGGCCATCCCTTCCTCTTGATCCTGCAACATCTGAGAGGAGCAGCTGGACCCAAGGACAGAGGATGACATCCCCTGTGGTGGGGGTGGATCCCCCTGGGGTGGGGGCTTGGGAGGTGCTGTGTCTTCATTGTACAGACGCTTGATACTTGCGTATATGTCGTCGTCGTCCTCTGTCTGATTCTTTCGCTTGGCTGTCTTGGGGTCCTCATGGGGATGGGGACCCCTGGCTGTGGCTTGGTGGTGGTTGCTATGTGGTTGCTGGGGTGGGGCAATAATGTAGACCGCATTGTGGCCTGGATGGCCCAAGAGGGAGGCTGTGATGAGTTCACGACACCTTATCAGCTGCTGATTATCCACCTGCGCATTCAAAGAAGTAAACTAATTTCAAGGGGAAAGCAAACGTAATCCCTTCAACAGATGTTTTAAAAGTGGACCACATTTAGGCATTTCCATCGGGGAAGCAATTGGCGATATCATGCGCATACAATTGATTATACTCTCATTCTTACAGGCCTTCCTTTGAATGCGAATCAACAAGCCATTTGAATTTATAGTGTCACCTCACTTGAGGGCTCGATAGCACAAGTACCGTGTAATGGAGAATTCAATGAATGCAACTGGTAAAAAATCTAGTTTCACTGCCTAACCTCTGAACCAGTGAATTCCATTAAAAACATCACCTTATCTGAGGTACCAGCATATGCAGATTTACTAACAGTGAAATAAGTTTTCAAATATAGCATAGTGTGGTGGTGGTGTTTTTTTTTAGCCCCAACAGTTCTCAGTTCTGTGAAGAACTGGAGTCTCTTTCTACCACTTACACCAATGAGCCTCTGGAACATCATGGACAGCATCAGCCAGTCCCGACTGACCACCTCCAGCTCCAGGCTGAGCAGGCCCAGGGCCAGGGCCGAGGGCCGGAAGGTGGCCAGCTGGTGGTTGACCATGCACTGGCTCAGCCGGCCTGTCAGTAGGGATAGGTGACGGGAGGGGGTCATGTGACCCAAGGCAGTCAGCAGCTGAGGGGCCTGAGTTAACAGCATGGCATGGAACTGCAAAGACACAAACAGAAGGTTGAACATATTACCAGGGGGTATCTAGTGATTCCACACTACAATATGTGACATAATGAGTTCATCAACTGTGTAGCACGGGGGATAGTCCCTGATTGCTCGCAGTACAGCTGAAAACTCTCATCAAAATTTATGCGAGTTTCACTTTTTAATTCACTGAAATTGTTACTTATGAACTAATTTTCTCGAAATCAAGAAATTATTACTTAGAAAATCAGCTTGCTATAATGGCTCTGGTTGACTTTTTATACAAGAAAAAAATTTTTGCTATTCAGAACTGGTTAAACCGTTTCGGATTAGTTTGGTGCGGTACTCCCGGTTCCCGAGAGGAATCACGGTTCCAAAAAAATTTGGAATCGGCTTCTCTGCTTTTGTGAAAAACCAGGTACCCCCCATCGGCGATTCCACATTCAAAGAACTGACTCCAAACATCAAATCCGAGTCCAAGTCACCACTCAGGCAGGCCTACTGCACACGCCCATGAGTGACAACTCCAAAACATCAAATCCTTATGTTTTTCCTGACATCTTTGCGAGCCGGTTCTGACTCAGAATTGCGATTCTTGGCTGGAGCCGGAACGGACTCTGAGAATTAAGGAGCCGCCTAAGCCTAATTCAGATCTAGAGAAAGTGTTGTCACTTTTGACAATTTGGTAAGTCCAAACTAAAAGCTTAGATTTTTGAAGTAATTTTGTAAGTTTTCCAATACATGAGGTAAACTACTGACCATACATGTTTTTCACCAGAATTATAGGATTTTGTCGCTGGAATCTGACCATGGCGCTACTTTTGAGATCCGGAATTGGGGAAGTGACTGTACATCATCTATTCGCGCTGTTCCACGTACGTACATGTAACCCCTGAACCATCTGCTTGATGGCAAGTTCCGATTGGTTAAAAAAGGAAAATGCCCCAGAAAAAAATCAACTTTTGATGACTTCCTAACAGTGTTGTAGTCGAGTACTTTCCGAGTACCAACGTTCTCCGCAAAATACTGAACTGGGTAAGAGGGAATAAGGCCAGAGTGCACAGGCATTGGATGGTAAATGTGCAAAGGTATGATTACAAAATAAATGTTAGACTTCAGACACTCCCAGTTATGTAAAATTTAAGTTTTAAGGAGAAAAGTACTCAGAAAGTACTCCGCCGAGTACTTTGTACTTTTGTCCTAAAAAGTTAATTTTAATTAAACAGTGATGGTCTGAAGTCATTATGTTGCTTTGTAATTTTACCTTTATGCATGTACCA